GGAAGCTTTCAAGAAGAGACTGGACTGCTATTTGTCAGAAATGGTGTAAGATCTCCTGCCTGGGTGGGGGGTGGGGGGTTGGGCTAGATGACCTACAACTCTGTTAATCTGTAACTAAGTCCCTGCAGTTTTCTTGACAGGGTTTTTCAGAAGTGGATTGCTACTGTCTCCTTCCTAGGCCTGAGAAAATGACTGGCTCAAGGTCACCCATCTGGCTTTGTTTCCAAGATGGGAGTAGAACTCACAGTCTCCCAATTTCTATTCTGATGCCTTAACCACTACATCAAACTCCTGGTGTCTTCCTGGATTCACGGTTGTCTCTGGAAGACCATGTGATGACCGTGACCAGAGGGGCAGTTGCCCATGTTCACCTTGTGCGACAGTTGCGCCCTTACTTGGACCAAGATGCCCTATGCACCGTTACTCATGCTCTGGTCACCTCCCATCTTGACTACTGCAACACTCTCTACCTAGGCCTGCCCTTGAAAACCACTCAAAGGCTTCAGCTGGTGCAGAATGCAGCCACGCGGGTTGTGATGGGAGCGTCCCGACACTCCCATGCAGCCCTCCTGCATGGCTTGCATTGGTTACCGGTTGCCCTTCGGGTGAGCTTCAAGGTGCTGGTTATCACCTATAAAGCCCTTCATGGCCTAGGCCCGGGATATCTGTCGGACCCCCTGCAGCTAGCGACAATCCCCAATCACCCGGTGCGTTCCCACAGATAGGGCCTCCTCAAGGTGCCTTCGGCCAGACAGTGTTGGCTAGCGACCGCCGGGGGAGAGCTTTCTCTGTGGGCGCACCAACCCTCTGGAACCAACTTCCTTTGGAGCTCTGGATGGCCCCTGCCCTTCGCTCGTTCCGCCGCGAGTTGAAGACCTGGTTGTTCCGTAGCCTGGACTGATGGGTTTTTTTTTTTAATAAATTTAAAACTGTTTTAAATTGGATTTTAATTTTATATCGTTTTAATAAGGAACTATGCATTTTACCGTTGTGAGCTGCCCTGAGTCCTTGGAGATAGGGCAGCATATAAATTGCATAAAATAAATAAATAAATAAACTGGTTCTCCTTATATTATTTATGGAGATTCTCAGTCATCCAAGTCATGTCCCAAAGGTGTTTTTTCAAGAGGTAACTGGACTTCCTTGTTTTTCTTTGAAGACATTTCACTTCTTATCCAAGAGGCTTCTTCAGCTCTGACTGGATGGTGGAGAATGGAAGGAGAAAAATAATGCAAATGACCAAACTGTCTGCAAGAAATATAAATCATTCCATTCCCCACCATCCAGTCAGAGCTGAAAAAGTTTCTTGGATGAGAAGTGATACATCTTCAAAGAAAATCAAGAAAGCTCAATTGCCTCTTCTCCTTACATTATTAATAATGTATTAATACTGTACAATATTACTGTACAATAGGAGCTTTCCGTAGCTGATCATTCTTCCTGTTTTCTGCTTCTCACAATCATACTTCCTATACAAACCGACCATGCTTCCTTTTTCATATTTATAGCTTTTAACATAATAATTTCTACTTCATACACCTTAAAAAGAGCCTTGGTAGTACAGTGGTCTAAGGCACCCTGTTATTAAGCTGGTTATTAAGACCAGCTGCCTGCAATTACTGCAGGTTCGAATCTCGCCAAGGCTCAAGGTTGACTCAGCCTTCCATCCTTTCTAAGGTAGGTAAATTGAGGACCCAGTTGTGGGGGCAATAAGCTGACTTTGTATAAATATACAAAAAGGATGAAGGCTATTGCTGAGCACATTGTAAGCCGCCCTGAGTCTCCGGAGAAGGGTGGCATATAAATCAAATTTTTTTTAAAAAAAAATCCCTGAAGGATTTCTCCTCCCAAAGTGTGTTTCCATAGGTATTGCTTAACATACATATAATCTAGGCTTCCTCAATTTTTCTTTTCTTTCACATCATCCCAAAACTATTGATAGCCCTAGCATTTTCTGAAAGTATGTTACTGAATGTAACCTCAATTGTTTATATTGTTATTTTAATTCAAAATCTATCTGTGTTGCACTCCCAGTAAAAATAGCTGAAGGATAGAAGAAGCTGAAGGGCTTGATAAGATCCTCTTATCACAAAGAAACACATTTTTGATGTTATCTTAGCTAGCCCATGATTATCTTCAGGAACAAAAAGAATGTTATTAAATACAACCCTGTTTGAGCACAGTGGGACAGCAGCAGAAATATCAGGCTTTTCTGATAGCAAATATCTTGCCTTCTTCCTCCCTCTCTAGTGACACCTGCCTAGAGTTAGGAATACTTCTAGTGACACCTGCCTAGCGTTAGAAATGATCCTCCTTTGAATTTCTCAAATTCCTGAGTCATTTGGCCTTGAGAAATAATATTCCAGAACAGCATTGTGGGAAGCCCCCCCCCCTCTTCTTAAAAATGCTTGGCTGGGGTGGAGGAGCAGTCTTTCTTAACAAGCTCAAAACTGAGTTGCAAGTCTGGGTTCCCCACACAAGAGCTGGAAGTCTGGTACTCTAGCGCACTCATCTCTTTTCCCTCTATGATCGGCCTTGGAAAAAGCCTGCCCTCACAATCACATGTCTGCATCCAGAGCTGGGCTTGCAGCACTTGTGTGGGGAACTCAGGCTTGCAGCAACAGTTTTGAGCTTATTAAGAAGTCTCCTCCTCCACCCAACCATGTGTTTTCCAGTCTGGGCTGCTTGGAGTGAAAAGCATGCAATATGTTGCCGCTCCCGGGATTCCCTGCACAGCTTGCCTTTGTGGGAGCTTTATCACTGGAAGCTTTCAGGAAAAAATTGGACTGCCATTTGTCAAAAATGGTGTAGGGTCCTCTGCTTGGGCAGGGGGGTTGGACTAGATGACCTACAAGGTCCCTTCCAACTCTGTTAATTTAATTTAATTTAATCTAAAATTGGCCAAGCTCCCAATGCCTGAACCAGCAAGCTGGAAGAGAGATTCGCTGTTGTGCTGGTGAGTACGTATGGACTTAGTAGGCTTTTTGCTCCCTCCCTCCCACCTCCCTATCCCAATCCAGCGTGGCACAGAAAACGGGGCCCTTCTCTTTTTTGCCTAATAGCCTCCTTTTGCCAGTATTTGGCAGGCAGGCAATACTCTTTAGATGGGCTTTTATTTTGCCAGCCCAAGGGTGGAGAGTGGGGGAAGGTAGGAAATCACCCTGTCTCTGCAGCTGGCTCTGCACCTGGCTAGGTGGGCGTGGCTAGGTGGTCATGTGACTGAGTGGGTGTAGCCAGCGACGTCACTCACAGCAAAGTGCCACGTCACCTTGCCATGAGTGATGTCAAGTTGGCCACGCCCACCCAGTCACATGACCACCTAGCCATGCCCACCTAGCCATGCCCACAGAACCGGTTGTTAAATTATTTGAATCCCACCACTGATTAAGACCCATCATGAATCTTTGCGAAACAAGTAAAACCAATCAAATAATAAAAACACACGAAGCCTCCAGATTACAAAATGCTGTTAAAAACTGTAGAAAAGTCCATGTAAAACCAAACCAATGGGTCAGCTGACCAAGATCCGCATGCTCTGTGTGTATGTGTGTTGGTTCTCCTCTTCAATAAACAGTCTTTCTTTCCAATCACTCTCCATGTTATTTCCAGTGTCTTTCTCCCAGCTTGGAACTGAACCAGATGGATTTTCCTTCCAACAGCATCAAACAACAACATAGAAGTCAAAGACTCTATGCTTTCTCACACCTAATAGTGATATGGATAGAAATACAGTGAAGTTGGACAAAACTAAAAAAGAAGGTCAGCTGTTGGGAAAGGGGCTGAAGAAAACCTACCATTTTTATTTCTATAGATAATGCTGTCAGTCTAGGACTGTGATGGCAAACGTATTGTCACGCATGCCAGAGGTGGCAGGCAGAGCCCCCTCTGTGGGCACACGCACCATCGCCAATTGCTCTTCTGGTTTCTGGCGTGCACAAGGGTGTCGGCCAGCTGGTCTTCACGGGTGCCAGAGTGCCAGAAAATGGCCTGAAAAACATCCAAAAAATAGGCGGCTTCCTGGCCTTTTGGGGGGCGTTTTTCAGGCCGTTTTCCGGCCATTTTTGGGGCGTTTTTCAAGCCAAAATTGGCCTGAAAATGGCCCAAAAAACAGCCAAAAAACAGGCATGTGTGTACCAGCCAGCTGGTCTTCAGGTTTCTAGCTCTCCAGTGTACACAGATACATTACACATACATTCCAATTTTGGCACTCTGCTGAAAAGGTTCACCATCACTGGTCTAGGATGTCTTAGACTTAGACTTACCTAACTCTTGTGCATTTTGCATTTTGGATTTGTGGATTTTATTTTTGCAGTATCCAATTTTGTCAGGTCACTATGCATATAGCTTCAGCTCCCAGTATTCTAAGTTTCAGATTTCACAATTAGCTCCTTTCATTTCTTACCAAGAATAGATGCTTTAAGCATGATTTTCCTCCTCCCTTTCCTTGTGTTGCTGTATTTTATATACTAGCAATAACAATAACACTTAGACATATTCCACTTCATAGTACTTTACAGCCCTCTCTAAGTGGTTTGCAAAGTCAGCATATTGCCCCCAACAATCCTAATTTTACTGACCTCGGGAAGATGGAAGGATGAGTCAACCTGGAGCTCATCAGGATCGAACTCCTGGCAATGGGCGGAGTCTTCGAATCACAATAGTCTTCTAACCACTGCACCATCAGGCTAAGACAGTTTATTGAAGTGAAGGCACATACTAGAAACCAGAAGACCATGAATTCCAGTCCCACCTTAGGCACAAAGCCAGTTGGGTGACCTTGGACCAATCCTTCTCTCTGGCCTAGGAAAATTTCTGAAAGATTACCATGAAAATTACAGGAACTTGTCCAGGCAGTTTCCAGGATTCAACAGTGACTCAAAGGCACAAATTTTAAATTGTCATTATATCTCTACAAAGAAACGCCCTTTGATTGATGGGGCAGTGGATGATAAATGGAAAACCTTATTTAAGATATATTCCACACCTACATGTATACTCACAAATATGCATACACATACTCTCACTGTGATCTATGTTCATTCTGTGTAGAGTTTCACTGTGGATGAAATATCTGGGGTTCTAAAAAAAAAAAGAAAGAAAGAATTGTTTTTTTTTTCAAAAAGTTTTTTTATTTTTTAAACAAAAACAACATAAAAACATCAACTTTCCAAACGCTTACAGACAGTATTTCGATTGGTGAAAATCATTTTGTGCTCTCAAAATTTTCAAACTCTCATTATATGACAGATATTCTTACCTCTATCAGAAAAAAACAAGTGCTTCAACATTTTATCCAAATTTCATTTCATATATAATATTTCATCTCCATGCTTTATTATCTATCCATTGATAAAATAGTTCCCATATTAAATAATATTATCTTCCTGTTCTCTTATTTCAAATGTCAATCTACTCATTTCAGCACAGTCCAACATTTTCTTAATAATTTCTTCATCAGTAATCATCTTCTCTCCTTTCCAGTTTTTTTGCAAATACAATTCTAGCCGCTGTTAATATATTCACAATCAAATATTGTAATTCTTTGTTGAATGTCTCTGGTAAGATCCCTAATAAAAATATCTCTGGTTTAAGGTCAATGTGTCTCTTTGTCATTTTTTCCAACCATGTGTGTATCTTAGTCCAAAATCTCTTTGCTTCTACGCATGTCCACCACATATGGTAATAGGATCCTGGGGTCTGATGGCACTTCCAGCACTTCTCCAATTTGTTCTTGAACATTCTGACTATCCTCGTCGGGGGTAAATGCCACCTGTAAAACATCTTATACAAATTCTCATTATGTGCTGTAGACATTGTCATTTTATAATTATGTGACCACAATTTTTGCCATTTCTCTAAATCAATACTATAACCAAAATTTTTCCCCCATGCTATCATTGACTCTTTAACTTGTTCTTCTTCCAATTTTGCCTCTAGCAAGTGTCCATATAACTTTTTAATTACATGGTCATCAGAGCCCATCAATATCTTATCTAAGGTAGTCAAAGCACTATAAAAACCTTCTTGTTTGAAATCTTCTCGATATCTAGAAAATATTTGCATATATGAAAACCAATCCATCTTAAATCCCTGATCTTCTAAGTCTTGCTTTAATTTAAGTTTATCCTTTTCATCCAATAATTCACTATATCTAACAATTTGTTCCCTTTTGAATATCACTGGATATGAAAAAGCTTCAATTGTAGATACCCAGACTGGATTCTTCAAATAATGATATTTTTTAATCCTCTCCCAATTCAAAAGCAATGCTTCACGTATCTGATGTCTTCTAAAATACCTCTGTATTTTAGTTCCTTTGTACCATAAAAAGGCATGCCACCCCATCAACAAATCATGTCCCTCCAAATTCAATAGTCTAGTATTTTTCAGTGTTACCCATTCTTTAATCCACATTAAACTAGCTTCTTGATAATATAATTCAAAGTTAGGTAAACCAAAGCCACCCCTCACTTTAGCATCTTGTAACAACTTAATTTTTATTCTTGCCTTTTTCCCTTGCCAAATGTATTTCAATATTATTTTATTCAAATCTGTAAAGAAATCCTTGTCCAACTTTATCGGAATTGTCTGAAACAAATACAACATTCTAGGCAAAATATTCATCTTAATAGTTGCAATTCTCCCAATTAAAGATAGTTGCAAGTTTCCCCATTTTTCCAAATTTTGTCCTATCTGTCGTTTAACCTTATTATAATTATTTTCCTTAAGAGAACTACACCTTGCTGTCAATTGTATCCCCAAATATTTTACCTTATTCGTAACCTGTATATTTGAAATCTCCATCAATTCTTCTCTTTGCTTTTTCAACATATTTTTAGTCATTATCGTTGTCTTTTCTTTATTAATTTTTAAATCAGCCACTTCTCCAAACTCTCCAATTTTTTCTAGCAATTTATTTATAGATGTTAAGGGTTCTTCCATGATAAAAACCAAATCATCTGCAAAAGCTTGTAATTTATATTCCTCTTTCCAAATTTTCATACCTTTTTTCTCCTTTTCTTCTCTAATATTTCTGTTTAGCGCTTCCAATGTCAATATAAACAATAATGGGGACAGTGGGCATCCTTGTCTAGTGCCTTTCTCTATTTCAATATATTCAGACAATTCTCCATTTATCATTACTTTAGCCTTTTGTCTTGAGTATATAGCTTCAATTGCCTGAAGAAATTTTTTCCCAAAGCCCATCTCCTCCATCTGTAACATCATAAACCGCTAATTGACATTTTCAAAGGCTTTTTGTGCATCTAAGAATATCAAGGCCATCTGCTTTTCAGGGTGCGCTTCGTAGTATTCTAAAATGTCCAAGATTATTCTTATATTGTCTCGGATTTGTCTTTTAGGTAAGAATCCATTTTGATCAGAGTGTATAAAATTATTCAAGTATCTCTTAAGTCTTTTTGCCAATATCATAGCAAAGATTTTATAATCTGCATTTAGCAGGGGTATCAGCCTATAGTTTTTGATTTGTTGTGGGTCTGTCTCTTCCTTATGAATCAAAGTGATGTATGCCTCAGTCCATGTCTTGGGTATTTCTTTTTTTATCATTACTTCATTCATAACCTCCAGCATTGGGATCAATAGTGAATCTTGTAGAGTTCTATAATATTCGGCTGGCAGTCCATCTGGGCCTGGTGCCTTTCCATTCTTTTGTTTCTTAATTGCCTCAGTTAGCTCCATCATCGTTATATTTCCATCCAATAATTCCTCAACCTCTTTGGGAATTTTTGGTAATTTAGCTTTTTGTAAATACCTTGCCACTTTATCCTGTTCTATCACGTCTTTCTTGTACAATTGTGTATAGTATTCCTGTATTATTTCCCCCATCTCTTTGTTTCCAAATCTACTATGTCCTGATGATCAATTAATTGAGTTATTTTCCTTGATTCTCTTTCTTTTCTCAATTTATATGCTAACCATCTGCCAGGTTTATTTGCATTTTCAAAATAATTCTGTTTAGCAGTTCTTATTTTTTGCGCTAATTCTTCCTTCTCCAGTAGATCCATTTTGTGCTCTATAGTATTCATTTTAATTTTTACATCTTTCTTATATGGATCTTTCTGGAGTTTTTTTTTCAAGTCTTTTATGATCATCTCTCAAAGCTTTAAGGATTTGTCTTTTCTTTTCCATGTATAATCAATGATTAATCCCCTGGCAAAGGCTTTCATTGTATCCCAACAGTTTTGTATCAATGTTCCTTTCTTATTCTCCTTGAAAAAAAAGTCCAATTCTCGTTTCATTTTCTGTGTAAAATCTTTCTCTTTTAATATTGTATTGTTCAATGTCCATCTAGAAAGATTACCATGAAAATTACACTTGTCCAGGTAGTTTCCAGGAGTCAACAGTGACTCAAAGGCACAAATTTTAAATTGTCATTATATCTCTACAAAGAAACGCCCTTTGATTGATGGGGCAGTGGATGATAAATGGAAAACCTTATTTAAGATATATTCCACACCTACATGCATACTCACAAATATGCACACACATACTTGCACTGTGATCTATGTTCATTCTGTGTAGAGTTTCACTGTGGATGAAATATCTGGGGTTCTAAAAAAAAAGAAAGAAACAATTGTTGAGTTAACTGTCTTGAGAGTCTTCATAGACTGTTGTTTTTCCAATGTACAGAAGCACATCAACAAAGTACAATGCAAAAAGAGGAGGGAAAGGAAAAATCAGAAAACAGCCATACAATTCTGAACAGCTTGTTTCCTATCTCCTCAGCCAAGTAGCATGTCAACCCTCTTGAGGCAATGAGTGGGATTTCTTTTTTCTATACAAACATATGAACATTTAAAATAGGTGATAAGGTTTACCTGTCCACAAAATTCCTACAATCCTTACAACACTCAAAACCTGCAAAAACACCCCCCCCCGAGGAAAAGACACTGCACTGAGAAGTGGAGAAACCAGAGAGTTTCGACCCCTTGCAAAATTGGGGGAAGGAACTCCGGCATCACCTGGGGAGGAATCTGGCCTGTCCAAGAGTGACCCTGAAGATGACCCACTGTTAAGTGAACCAATTGAGCCACTCATCCTGCCCCTAAGACTATTCATCCCCAGTTGGGGGAAAAGACTGAAAATCTCAGCCCCCTTGGATTCAGGTGTACCCGGCGTTTGATTAGCCCAACCCTGGTGGGAAAATTTGGGCATACACTTGCAGAAACTAAAAATCCCCATCACGTTCTGCCAGTTAGATGGGTCAGTCACAGGGGGAGAATTGGCCATTTTTGCCACAGCCTGGACATAGCAATGGGGACTCATGATGAGAGACACACTTTCATTGTGGCACCTGGAATGGAATAGCTGCTAGTTCTAGGGCTCACCTGGTTGAGGAAGTGGAACCCCAGACTGAACTGGAACTCTAAGATTTCAATGGGGAGTGACTGGACCTGATGGCCAAAAGGAAGAACTGGGGGGAGACACAAACAAAGAAGCAGAGATGTCAGGAAAGGCCGCGCCAGACCAGGGCATACCCAGGGAGTACAAGGACCTAGCTGAGGTGTTCATCAAAGAAGGCTCCAATGAGCTCCCACCACCACCACCCCACAGACTGCACTATCAAGATCCTTCCAGGAGCCAAACTACCAAAACCAAAAATGTATATCATGTCTCCCAGGGAACTCAAGGAATTGAGAGCCTTCATAGATAAAAACCTGGCAAGAAGGCTCATTGAACTCACACAACCAAAAATTGCCACCCTGGTGCTATTCCAAGAGAAGAAAGATGGATCTTTGCACCTTTGTGTAGATTATAGAAATCTGAACACTGTGAGTTTGGAGAATGTGTATCCCCTCCCCTTCATGAAAGACATGTTAGCCCAGCTCTCCAAAGGATTTCTTTTTTCAAAATTGGATTTAAGAAAGGCTTACTACCGAATCAGGATTAGGGAAGGGGACAAATTGAAAGCAGCTTTTAACACTCCTTTGGGGAGTTATCAATTCAAAGTGCTCCCATTTGGATTACAAGGTGCCCCTGCCATGTTTATGCAACTGATAAATGAGATGCTCCATGAGCATCTGTACAAAGGGGTTCTGGTGTACTTAGATGACATTTTAATATACATTGAGACAAAGCCGAGCATGTAAAGCTTGTCTGAGCGGTCCTAAATAAACTGTGCTGCAAAACTTTACGCAAAACTTTCCAAATGTGAATTCTACAAAGATAGAATTGACTACCTGGGATATAGGATTTCCCATGAGGGCATGGAAATGAACTCAGGGAAAGTGCAACCAGTGATCTACTGGTCTCCCCCCCCCCCCCCCCCCCCCCCCCCCCGCAAACAACTACAAAGCTTCCGAGGGTTTGCAAATTTTTACCGGCAATTTAGCCCAGCATTTGCACAAATTGCGCTCCCAATCACTAACCTACTGAAAACAAAGGGGGAGGGACAAACTGAAACCAAAGCAGCCCATAAATTGGACCATGGAATGCCAGGTAGCATTCGATAGACTGAAACAATTGTTCTCAGCTGAACCAGTCCTGAACCAGGAAGATTCCAGCGACGTAGCAGTTGGAGCCGTCTGCCTCCAAGAAAATGAGCAGGGCCAACTGCAGCCCTGGGCATACATATCTAAAAAACTAACCAACACTGAATAGAGATGGGCTGTCTGGGAAAAGGAGGCATTTGCAGTACGGTGGGCTCTTCTCACTTGGAGACATTTCCTAGAAGGGAATAAAATCCCTTTTGAAGTCTGGAGTGATCATAAAAACCTAGAGGCCCTAAAAACCCCACGAAAACTCTCCCCAAGTTTGCTGGGCTCAACACTTCAAACATTTCAATTTCAAACTAAAATACTTCTTTCGGGGGGAAAACCTTTTAACAGATGCACTATCCAGAAAGCCTCAGCTTAATAGCGGGAAACTGAAGTGATCAAACCCCTGCTCCCAGCCTCTCAACTGCAGCCAAAGTGTTGACCAGGTTGCAAGCTAAACAAGAATCACTAACAGACAATGCTACCACTCAGGCGTTTAAAAAAGCCCTACAAAGTGATGACTGGTTCCTAGCCCATGAAAACAGTTTAATTAAAGATGACTTAGCTTGGGTGGGAGGAAAATTCTACGTCCCAGCTAGTCAGAGAATTCCTCTCATGCAAACATGCCATGACTCCAAACTGGCTGGTCACTTTGGTTTCATTAAAACCTTATCAAAAGGCAATTCTGGTGGCCATCTCTTAAGAAAGACATTGAAAGCTATGTTGCCAGTTGCCCTATCTGTGCAGCAACAAAGACGAATCAAGGGATGCTCCCCCCCCCAGTCTTTTACAGACAGTAGCCAAGCCTTCAGCACTCTATTGTGGAGTTACCTGAAAGTGGGGGGGAATACGGTTATCTGGGTCATGACAGATCTTTCTGTTACAGTCGCTTGCATAGGAACTTTGCATGTTTCACAATGTTTTATAATGTCTTAATATGTGATAGTTGTGTTAATATGAAGGGAAGATGTTACAGTCACTTGCATCGGAACTTCATATGGTTCACAATGTAGTGTTTTAGTAATACAGTGTTTTATATCATTTTAATGTATGTATGTAATGCTTATGGGGTTAGTGGGGTTTTTAATATTTTAAAATATGATAGGTGTATTAATGAAAAAGGGAAGATGTTACAAGAGATATGTCTGCAGTCTTGGCAGGATTAGTTTGAGATATATTCCTTGACTCTCGAGGAGCTGCCTTCAGCTGCATCTGTGAGGTATTTCCGGTTCATGTCATATGTAGATATATACCTGTAATGATGGCTTGTTAAGGTGCTTTTTTATTGATGATTAAACCTACCTGAAACACTTTCCTCAAAGCAGACCCACTTCGTTCCCTGCCAAAATTTCCCACTGCTAAAACACTCACCAAACCATTCCTGCAGCATATCTATCAACTACATGGGGTCCCACAAAGGATAATATCTGATCGGGGGGTCCAATTCTCTTCAAAGTTCTGGAAGGCCTTTTTGGACCTTCTTGGAACTGATCAGGGCCTAAGTTCTACTCATCATCTTTAGACTAATGGATCGACAAAGAGATTGAATTCCATTCTGGAACAATATTTAAGATGCTTTATTAACTATCAACAGAATAACTGGACTGACCTCCTGCCTTTTGCAGAAGTTGCCTATAATAACTCTGTGCACTCTAGCACTGAGTTCACCCCATTTCGAGTTGCCACTGGCCAGGACTTCATCCCAAGCCAGAATTACCAATAGAGAAACCAACCATACCCAGTGGATACAACAACTATAAAATACTTGGCCAGTAGTGAGACTAGCCCTAGAATGAGGCTAGAGCCACTTTTAAAGCCCAAGCTGACAAAAGAAGGACAGAACCAAACTCATTTAAAATAGGTGATAAGGTTTACCTATCCACAAAATTCCTACAATCCTTACAACTCTCAAAGAAATTGGAACCCAAATTCATAGGGCTTTTCCCAATCACTGGAATCATCAACCCAGTAATGGTAGAATTATTACTCCCCAAGACACTTAGATAGGTCCACCCAGTTTTTCACCGCAGCCTATTGAAACCTGAAATTAAGGCCCCAAGAAAATGCTCCTCTGACCCTATTATGGTGGAAGGGGAAGAACACTTTGAAATCAAAGAGATCCTTGACTCCTGCTCCCAACAGGGTTCAACCCAATACCTAGTCTACTGGAGACAAATTACTTCCCTCACAAAATGAGTGGGTAGCTAAGAAACATGTTAGGACCCCTGCATCAGGGGTGAAATGCTCCCGGTTCGGACCAGATCACTCGATTCAGTAGTGATGGCGGGGAGTGGTTCGGAGAACTGGTAGCAAAAATCCCTGTCCCCCACCCCCCATGCCCAGCTGAGCCATGCGCTCATCAGAGGCTTTTTTTTTTTTACTTTTAAAACCATTTTTGCAAAAAAAAAAAATGCTTTTAAAAGTAAAAAAAAGCCTCTGATGATCACGTGGCTCAGCTGGGATCGTCAGAGGCTTTTAAAAGCATTTTTTTAACAACTTCTTTGAGGTTGTAGAAAAAAAAATGCTTTTAAAAGTTAAAAAAAAAGTTGGCCTTGCCCACCCAGTCACATTACCCCCCACTAAGCCATGCCCACAGAACTGGTAGTAACAAATCTTACATTTCACCACTGCCCTGCATTGCTGAAAAAGTTTCACTCGAAGTATTCTAACAAACCAAACTAACTCTCTATGATGTCCATCTTTCTGTTCTCTCTTACAGGTAATCCCCTCATTTTTTTTGAAGGGGGGGCAGCATGTCAGATCCCTATTGTGATACTGCCATTCAAGTGGGGAGGGGATTCTGGATCCTTTTACTCATTTATTACCCTGTCCCTTATTCTGTTCTGTGCTTTGATTTACCTTGGGGGATGTACAAGGGGGGAGGGCCATCTGTTTTCTTTCAGTTTGGAAGCCTCCCAGAAGAAACACATCGGAAAAAATCCCTATCTCTTCCTCAGGATGATCATTTCCACAACATCTTTGCACCTGTAGATTGGCTCATTCAACATCAAACTGAGAGGAAGGGTTTCTAACTGCTTTATCCTAATGGAATTGCCTGGGGAGAACTCAGACACTGGTTTGCTTTTATCTTGCAATCACTCCCTTTCAATAAAAGATTCCTTTTGAAATGCTGATGTCTCAAGAGTCTGTACTTTCTTAATTGGGGAGTAGAGGCAGGACCTTACAGTATGGGGAGATCTGTGCAGTTAGTTTTCTTTTGCCCTTCACAATAAAGCAGAAGTGCATTGTTGATTCATGCCAAATGCAAAAGTCTTCTGGTAGGTAAAAAAAGGTAGAACATAAGTATAAAATGCTTCATAGGCAAATATCTCCCTGAAAATGTAACACAGCAAATTGTAGTAGACTGTTAGCCGCACATCAATTTTCTCACGTCTTTGCCCAATTTTTACTTTACTGGCTGACAGAATGGGGCCTTGATCAATGTAACCAGATTTTGGGATGAAGAACTGAAGTAACAGCTTGCATTCCAGCTCTTTCCAGCTCAGGGGCAGAGATACACATCTTAGGTCTGCCTAAGCTCTTCCCTTGAGAGATGCTGACTATAGCTTTGCATATGGTAAGTCTGAGGGGAATAGATATAAAACTGATAATGTAACAGATGAGATATTAACATCTCCTATATTCTGGTAAGGGCTGAAAAATTGCAAAATATTTTTCAAAAATTACATATGTATAATTTGGGTAAGTAGACTTCATATTAAAACTTTTTTTTTCTATTCCTTTTTTTTCTATCTAGAATTTCCCAGTGCTACACATAGAATCATCAAGCACTCTTCTCTCGAGGAATATTGCAAGGTGCCTGACAAATACATGTTCCCAAAGCGATAAGAAATATATATTCATACTGCAAATGGCAACAGCCATGACAGGTTAAACAAAAGACCAAGCAAATCCAATTTTCTCTAGGTAATTCCAGAAGAAAAGAGGAACAGTGTCTCAGAAATAGAACAGAAGCATCCAGAAAAATAATAATAGGAAGCCGGAGTACTGGGCATATTCACCACCTCAAGTTATTTATATAAAATAATAAAGGCAGGATAAAAAAAATCTTTTAAAAAGTTTATAAAGGAACAATGACAGGTAACCAATTTGGAAACCAGTGGCACTTTGCATTACCATAATAAGTTGTACTACAGCTAGAAATAGAAGAACCTTCAAATATTTGGTTGGGTTCCAGTGGAGAACTAAGGATGACAATCAGCCTGCTGCTGAGCTTAGACCACAAGCATCCATTTTTCAACACTTCCATCCAGTGATTTGTAATTGTATATCCAAATGTCAGTCTAAAACAGCTGTATTAAGTCTAGGTAGATGTAGCACATCTATGTTTAGCTACCAAAGAGAGAGAGAGAAAGAGAGGGGGGAACCCCCCTCCCTCCAAAAATCAGCAAAGCATGTCCATCACCAGAATAAAGCTGTTTATTTCTGGGTTAAATTAGTATTTCTGATGTTCAATATATTTATACCAGACATGTCAAACACAAGGCCCGTGGGCCAGATCCAGCCTGCAATGTGGTTAGATCTGGCCCACAGGGCCACCCTGGAGACAGAGAGGGTCTGGCCAGCACCACCTGGGCCCTGGCCTAATGTGGCCAGTTCAGGCGCTCCCCCAGGATGTGCACACCGGAGGCAGTGAGTATACGGGGCCTGTCATCTCAGGTGAAAGGGAAGCACTCAGAACACGGTCAGCCTGTGGGGCAAGATGATCACTGGGGATGCCAGGTCCCACATACTCACCACCTCCTGTGTGCTTAGCATGGCTGAGCCAGTGGAAGTGGCTCACTATCTACAGGGCAGTCTCGCAGGCCAGATCTAAGGCTGACTATATTCTTGCCGGATGGCCACCACAAAGTTGTAGATCAGTGTTGTGCCTGCCACCAGCACCTCCGTGGCCTGCTCACTGGCCTGGCCTCACAGCCCATGAGTAAGGTGACCAGATTTTAACATTGGTAAAGAGGGACACAATTGTGGGCGTGGCTTATTGTGTGGGCATGGCTTGGAGGTCATGTGACTGGGTGGGCATGGCTAGCTGGTCATGTGACCGGGTGGCCATGGCTATGTGTATAGGGACTACTCAGAGGGCTGAAAAAAGTCATTTCTGACAGGTCCTCGCACTTTTGACTGGTCCTCACACTTATGACCATCCTCACATTTATGCCCGTGCAGCATTTTAACAACCATGTCACTCATTTCACAACTGCTTCTCTTCACCATGGTGACAAGATAGGGCAAAAAACGTAAAATGTGAGGGACAGTCGTAAGTTTGAGGACTGGTCAAAAGTGCAAGGACCAGTCAAAAATAAGTTTTTCAGCCCTCTGAGTGGCCCATATGCATAAAAGGATACAGCAATAGAGAGGATGAAGGAAGGGAAGAGAAATTAGAGTAGGAGTGAGGGTAAGAGAGGGAGGAAGAGAGGAGGAGAAGGAGAAAGGAAGAGGAAGTAGGGAGGAGAAGAAGAGGGGGGGAAGAGAAAGTAAGAAGGAAAGAAAAGAGAGAGGTGGTAGGTTTGAGGAGAAAGATTGCTGTACAGTAAAAAAGATGAAATGGAAGAAAGGCAACCCCAAACAAATATTAAGATATTAAGATAAAGAATGAATTGTTAAACTCTAAAGAATAAAAGAGAACAAATATGAATAAATAGCAATAATTAGAAACACACATACGAACATACAATGTATTTTCTTTCAACAGAATATTTGGCTGGTTCACAAATTTAAACAGTGTTTAGTCACTTCAATTAAATTTACAATTTCTATATTTCCTTTTTGCCATATTTATTCCTCATCTATTTTTTTTTAAAAAAACAATATTACCCTTCATCCTCATCTCTAATCTTAATCAAATTCAATTTTTCCCTTCTATTCTATATTATACCCCTTCCCATTGTCATCTATTTTTATATCCATCCTCACATTGGTTAATTATGTAATTATGTAATACAGTTTAATACAAATTCAACATTTTAATGTAAATCAATTAGTTATATAACTATCTTTTTTGTATATCAATATGAACATGAATATTCCAATTATTTCCATGCCATCCAATTTCTTACAAATCAATTAATTATATTTACCAATAATAATAAACCAAATAATTTCCCCTATATAATCCTCCAAACCACAACTTAACCATTTCTGCTTTCAACACAATATACAATTATTAATAGTTAATTGATTTAATTAATAATTAAATCAATTATTACAATTCCCTAGTTAAATAGAGCTTTTTTTCTTTTGTGTTTTAAAATCTTGAACTCTCCTCTTTTTCCCTAAATTTCCCATTGTTTGCACCTACCTTTTTTGGTGAGGAAAAAGAAAAAGAAATCTCTCTCTGCCTCATTTTGTCACGTTGCAGCAAAGACCCTGCTTTCGCTTTCGCTTCTTCAGCATAGCTAGGGGGGAAAAAATCTGCTCCAGGAACTCTTTACACTGATCACCTGTAGGGCGGCCCTTTGAAGCCCCGCGGCAAGAGTTTAAACAGTTTTTTTCCCTCTAGCCATCAGCTGGGGCTCAGGAGGCAGCCGGGACTCAGGAGGCAGAATGAAAAATCGGGACTTTTTTAAAATGCCGCGACAAATTGCTAAAAATTGGGACTGTCCCGCCAAAAGCGGGACGTCTGGTCACCTTACCCATGAGCGCTTCCCTTTCACAAGATCTGCCTCCACCCCCATCCCCATGTGGGAAAGCCACAGCCACTGGCAGCACAGCCAAGCTCTGGGAGCTCAAGGGCCAAGCTGGGCCCTTGCCCTCCACTGCCCAGGGCTCCAGGCAGCCTCTGCCACTATCCAGGGGTCCTCTGTGTGGCTTTAGAGGGATGGCAAGGCTCCCCTGGTGGACTAGGCTTTGGTGCTCATCCTGGTCTCACCTTCCTCTGCTGGAGACCTCCAGATTCCCCCCTACCAGCTTTGCTTGGCCACCCATGGGGATGCAGAATGACACTGCTGCATGTAGAAACATGGAGGAGAAAGTTTTTTGTTTTTTTTTTTAAATTTGATTTATATGCTGCCCTTCTCCAAAGACTCAGGGCAGCTTACAATGCGTTAAGCAATAGCCTTCATACTTTTGTATATTTTATACAAAGTCAGCTTATTGCCCCCACAATCTGGGTCCTCATTTTACCTACCTTAGAAAGGATGGAAGGCTGAGTCAACCTTGAGCTTGTTGAGATTTGAACTTGCAGTAATTGCAGGCAGCTGATGTTAATAACAGTGTTTTAGTCTGCTGTGCTACCAGGGCTCTGGTTTGCAGGAAGCAGTTTCCTCTGAGTCCAACTTCTGCCTTGACAGATCTCTGGAGGGGAAGAGGGGTGGGGGAGCTATGTGAGGGAAGGCTGCCCCAATAAGCCAGCATTCTTACCAGATGTGATTGAAAATGGGGATTCCCTTTCAAGTAGAGCCAGCCTTTCTCATGCAAGACCAATAAGAGCCTGTAGTACAGTGGACTAAGCACTGTTATTAACATCTGCTGCTTGCAATTACTGCAAGTTCAAATCTCACCAGGCTCAAGGTTGACTCAGCCTTCCATCCTTTCTAAGGTAGGTGAAATGAGGACCCAGATTGTGGGGGCAATAAACTGACTTTGTATAAATATACAAAAGTATGAAGACTATTGCTTAACGCATTGTAAGCCACCCTGAGTCTCCGGAGAAGGGCGGCATATAAATTAAAGCAAAAAAAAAAAAAAAAAAAGACCAGGGACCTTTTTCATGCAAGACCTGCCTCCTCCTCTTGCTTTCCAGAGATCTGTCAAGGCAAGGAAACTGCTTCCTGCAAACTTTCTCCTCTGCATTTTCATATGCAGCATCATTGTCCTCCACCTCCTGCTTTGCTGGGAGGGGGCACCAGAGAGGGAAATGCCAATGATGTCTGGGATTGGGAGAAGAATGTCTCCTTTGGTGTGCTGTGTGCGCGCGGGCGCGCGCGCGCGCCCACACACACACACACACACACACACACACACACACACCATTCAAAGCTTGTAGACTTTTACCCACAGCTCTTATAGGATCGCCAGAGGCTTTTAAAGGCATTTTTTCCCCTACAACCGGGTTACTGCTGGATTCTCATAGGTTAGCCTCAGGACTAGCATTTATCTTTCAGCCTAACTGTCAACTCTCAAAACATCCCTGGCCTGCTCTCGAGTTGCCATAGGCAAGTGGGGGATGAGAAACTGACAAAATGACACAGCAGCCAAAGACAGATGCACATTACACACTTATGTCTCTCAAGGCTGTATCCCAGGGTTATCTACAGCAGCCAGAGGGGAGTGACCTCTACAACCAGCAAAATTGCTCCATTGGTGAATGTGATTGATGACACACCCTGGGGGAAGGGGGAAAACAGGGTCATAATTGGAGCATAAATTACATAGGATCAGAGCTGGCTTCACTTGGGAACATACTGACATGACGTTCCTAATAAATTTATTTATTATTTTATTTATTATTTATTTATTCAAATTTCTATACCGCCCTTCTCCTTTCAGACTCAGGGCGGTGAACAGCCAGATAAAAAACATCTATACAAACATCACAGTTAAAAATAAAGTTAAAAAAATTTATAAATTTGGCCCATAATTTAAAACTTGTCAATTTAAAATAAATATTAAAATTTTAAAACTAACCCTAAAATCAGGACAGACCGGCTAACTGAAAAAAATAAGTTTTTAGGGCCCGACGAAAAATCCGGAGGTCGGAGATCACTCGTATCTCTGGGGGTAGATTGTTCCATAGGGTAGGTGCCACCACAGAGAAGGCTCTCCTCCTGGGGGTCGTCAGCCGGCATTGTCTGGCCGACGGCACCCTGAGGAGGCCCTCTCTGTGGGAGCGAACCGGCCGGTGGGAGGCTATTGGTGGCAGAAGGCGGTCCCGTAAGTACCCTGGCCCTAAGCCATGGAGCGCTTTAAAGGTGATCACCAACACCTTGAAGCACACCCGGAAGTCCACCGGAAGCCAATGCAGCTCGCGCAGGAGAGGAGTCACATGGGAGCGCCCCATCGCTCCCATAATCCCCGCGCAGCCGCATTCTGCACCAGTTGGAGCCTCCGGGTGTACCCCAAGGGGAGCCCCATGTAGAGAGCGTTACAATAGTCCAGACGAGAAGTGACGAGTGCTTGAGTGATCGTGCGTAGGGAGTCCCGGTCCAGAAAGGGGCGCAACTGGCGTATCAGGCAAACCTGACAAAAAGCCCCCCTGGCCACGGCTGTCATATGCCCCTCTAAAGACAGCCGCGCATCCAGGAGGACACCCAAGTTGCGGGCCCTCTCCGTGGGGGCCAATGATTCGCCCCCAATAACCAGGGATGGCGTCAGCTGGCTATACCGGGACGCCGGCAGCCACAGCCACTCGGTCTTGGAAGGGTTGAGTTGAAGCCTGTTTCTCCCCATCCAGACCCGCATGGCCTCCAGGCACTGGGACATCACTTCCAAGGCATCATTGGGATGGTCTGGGGTGGAAATGTACAGCTGAGTATCATCAGCGTACTGATGGAACTCCACCCCAAAACCATGGATGATCTCACCCAGCGGCTTCACATAAATGTTGAACAGGAGGGGCGAGAGGACCGACCCTTGCGGCACCCCACAAAAAAGGCGCCTTGGGGTCGACCGCTGCCCCCCTGTCAACACAGATTGCGACTGGTCGGAGAGATAGGAGGAGAACCACCGCAGAACGGTGCCCCCCACTCCCAGTCCCTCCAGCCAGCGCAACATGTTACCATGGTCGATGGTATCAAAAGCCGCTGAGAGGTCTAATAGGACCAGGATAGAGGAATAACCCCTATCCCGGGCCCTCCAGAGATCATCCACCAACGCGACCAATGCCGTTTCCGTGTTGTACCCAGGTCTGAAGCCGGACTGGAGCGGATCCAGATAGACAGCTTCATCCAGGTACTGGGGAAACTGTCACGCCACCACACTCTCAACAACCTTCGCAATAAAGCG